CCCTTTTGAATTCCTTTTAACTTAAGTTTCACTCCAATATGAAGAAAACCTGTCAATGAAGTCCCACTAGTATTGGGTCCTTCATGCTCGCTCAACTACGCCTCACTGCTGTTGTACAGAGCCAATACAAGACATGATCGCACAGGACAGTGCATGTCAGACTCTTGATCTTGCCTTTTCCAGTATCTCATTGCCATCTCACTGAGTATGTTCCGGTTTGGGATGTTTACTGCTATGCCATCTCAGGTATGGGAAGATTGACATTAAAATGAGGAATCTGCCAGCAAACATAAATCTATCAGGGCACTGATCACAGAGCTCTTGCTACTGTTATTTTAATGATATTTAACAATTAAAGCACAAAGGTGGTAGTTTTAGGCTGGTAGTTAAATTTATCGATTTTGATTTTCTGACATGAATAAAACAGGCAAGACTGCAGAGGATCGGTTTCAGGATGGAGTGCTCCCTGGCAGCATAATTCCTGCTGTGTCGCAAAGAGCATCCTTCATTTCTTTCTCAAAAACCAGCCAAACGTCCAGCATCCCTTGTTTGTAAATCCATCAGGAAGGCACTCCTCATTCTCTGGAGGCTTTACCTAACATGTAGAGCCACTGGAGTGTTGAGAAACCGTAAATCAGATCTTTGAGCCATTTGTACCTGAACTTCCAGTCTCAGCAAGTGAGACCAGAGCTGGAGGCGTTTCATAACCAGCCCAGTGAGGGTGGACTAGGTCACCCGATCCGCAATGAGCCTGCCACTAATTTGAAAGCTTTTGAGCATTGTCTGGGGGCAGATATCCTCAGTGTAACGATCTGTCAAACAGCAATGATTTCTGAGTGCAAAACCTGTGGCCATCTGTAATCCTTCCCATCTAATCTCTTCCAGCCTTTAAAAATAATTTCCATTCCCACGATGCCTGTACATTTGGTAGCTCTTGGCTCTGTGGGATGGGAAAGACCCCTTCTTTCTTCTTTTTGTGCTAGCCTGGTAAGATTTTAGCATTAATGGGGGTTTTAATTGTTTTATTATGAAGCACACAGACAGAGCCCCTTGGCAAGGGCACCCTTTAGAAATAAATTGAGTCATCATCCTTATAATAGAAAAGCTAATTCAGTATGGATCTGTCCTCCAGTTAAAGGCATGCACATCCCTTAGGGAATGGTATTACTGACTGACCAGACTTCTGCTAGTAACTGCTGTTTGCTTTTCCTGACCGATCTCACTGTCCTGCCAGTGGAAATGGCTTTTTGATGGCTGCTACAGTAACATGCTCATGTGGGATCAGCCTTGTCCTGGGCCCTCCTCTAACAGTGCTGCTGTACTTCCAGGACTACTACATCATCCACTGCTAGAAGGACTCAGCTTGGAGACTGTTTGTCCTCTGACCTGCCCACAACCTAGTTGCTCTCTACTTTCTGCCTTAATTTCTACACAAAACATAGCTGGCAGTACAACCCCAGGTTTGAAGTGCCCTTATCCTTAGTATGGAAGAATCTACCAGAGCTATAAAACTCCTATCTGGCTACAGAAAGAAAAATAAAGAATTGCAGGTTGGTGTCTGTCCATAGTGAAGGTAAGGGAGTGGAGCAGAGTTGTGAGAGCTGCAAGGATCTGTGTCTTGGTCACTTCTCATGTGTAGGTGGCTGAAGGGTGGCTGATACCCAATCTGGCGTAAAGCCTCCCAGTGAAACATTAGCCCACTGACATGTGTAAGCAAATCTGAGCCAGCAAGGTGGGTTTATGCTGGATCATCTCTTTGCACCGTTGTTATAACATTGAACAAAGGCCTCCTCAGACACTTGGCTTTCTTAATACCTTCCCTCTCTTTTTATTTGCTGTCCTCTGTTCTTATTGGGAGGGTGGGATTTCACGTGGGATGGGACTGGAAGGGATTTTAAGGGTCCACTGATTCCAGTGTCCTTCAAAAGGTATTGAGCCAATTCACAAAATGTCTCTTTGGTCACTTGGTGCCCTCTCCATCACCAGGCTGCTCCATGCAAACTCTGGCCAAATGGCTCCACTGAGTTGCTACAGCCCACGCACCAGGGCACTGTGGGTCATGCCAGGGAACAGCACTCTGCCACAGCTGCTGCAGGCAACACCCTCAGTGGTCTCCATGTGTGCTTTGATAAAAAAGCAAGGTTCCCATCCAGAGATGTATTCAAGCCATGGAGCTGGCTAAGTAAGCCATGCAGCAGAACTCCCGTGCAATAGCTCTACTTGCCTGGAGTCATTCACTACTGGCCGCACAGTCCCAGGCCACCTTCTCTGAGAATGGCAAACACCATTGTCTCTGAGTGTTAGATAGGTTTGCTCACATGTGCTCACTATCTGCTGAAATGAATTCAACCAAGAGGAACATGCTGGTGGCCTCATTCTGCCAAGCGTGCTGGTACCCGACCCATCCAGGCCATACATGCCTTCGCCATGGGAGCCTCCGTTGCAGCTGCTGCCTCCAGCACAGAACCAAAACCGTCAATTGTGGCACTGGCAAGATTTGTGTCCAAGGCAAGATTTGAACCACCTGTGAGTAACCCTGTAAGCCATGAAGGCGCCAGTGGCCAAAAGCTGTTTTCTCACAGAGTTCCTCGGCAAAGACAAGGTGCATCGTTCCTGCTGGGCACCCAGCCAGAAGGGTGGTCACCAGAACCCCGGAGTCAGGACCTTAGTGCAAAGGCCAGCAGCAACGGGAGGAGTGTGATCTGGAAACACAAAAGGAGAAGCACAGAATGCCAAGGAGATGACTTAAGACACATGTCATTGTGCAACAGGGAACTGGGCTTGGGGAAGGAAGCAGCACTTGATTCTCAAACATGTCACTGTGCTTTGGTAACGCAAGCTTTAATCAAAGCCTTTGCACTGGCGGTGTTGCAAGTACTACACAGCATTTGTTTTTCTAGGTGGTAAACTGAGTGAATGTACCTCAAAGGCTGCGAAAGTCATGCTGTACAGACTGGTTTGGCTCGGTTGGTGTTTTACTGTGGTCAATAGATTTTTATCAGATGCTTTTACTTGTTAAATTTTCCTTGGTAGTAGGAGCAATCCAGCAAATAATATTAATGATGGAGCACCAGGAGACACGCAGCCAAGGAGATCACTTTTTTGGCTGGATCCCCTTCTGCACAAGGGAGGCTTTGTACAAGCTCACAGAAGTGCCGTGTTCAGCTTGCTGTGGGCAGAGCTGGAGGCAGGCTTCAGGCTTTGTCTCTGTGCAGAGTCAGGTCAGCTTCATTAACCATGGGGCTTAAAACTCATTAGTTCTGAGTTGTGGCCAGGCTGCTGGGAGGCTGTGCTTCCTCACAAGAGGTACCTGTCCCCCAGCAGGGATGGTAGGGAGGCAGCTGGTCCTTTGGGCAAAAGAAGAGGCTTGGGCTGGCCTCGGAGAGCATCCCATGCCACCCAAGAGAGCTGCCGTGGAGGTCATGCTTCGTTGGCAATGCTGACCTTCTCTGACACCTGCAAAATGGGACAGGACTGGTCTCACCAAGATGGCTGACCCACAGCCTGTGGGTCAAGGACATGGGCTGGTCATGCTTCCACCAGCACCTGGTCTCATGCAGGTTGTCTTTGACCCCTGTGGGTCCAGATAAGATGAAATAAGTCAAGTCGTGCTCACAGTGAGTCAGGTGCCAGGCACCTCTGGCTCAGGCAGTGTCACTGTCAGGTGCCAGCATCACCTTTGGAAACATTCTGTTTGCAGCAACACCAACATCATGGTGGAACAGCACAGCCGGTGAGCGGGGACCAGCCTCAGAGTGCCACCTCCATGGGGAGGGCAGGGTGAAACCAACCTCTCGGAGATGTTTTCCTGGCTCTTGCAGGGTTAAGTAGCCCCTTTTGGCAAAAATCAACTACAGATGGGCCTTGGGATCATCAGCTGCCTCCCAGCTGATTCCCACAGCATTTCAAACACAACATCACAAGACTCAGGGATAATACACACCCTTCTCAGTGGGACAGATAAGCACTAACAGAGTTATTGCAGGAACATAGAGTACTGAATTTCCTATGTGCAGGATTGGCTATATCGAGGGAGGAGAAGACAACCATGAAAAAAAATCCAAGGTTTCCCTGGGATGCCCCTGTCTTAAACATGCCATAGCGTGGACCCTGCCCTTGCTGCATATAATAAACCCTGCATTTAATAAACGTGTATTCACATGCTGGGAAGAAATCAGTTCAGCTGACGCTGCCCTAGTCCGTATGCAGGTTTAAACAAGCGCTCAAACCTGGATTTCCCTCCAGCCTTCTCCCAGCACTGTTTCCCTTCCCCTTGGCTGTCCTTATCCCCAGTATTGCAGAGGGCATCCAAGGGGTTGGTCTGGGCTTGTGCATCCACAGCCACCACACGCCTTGCCAGGGAGAAGAGCGATCCAGGGATAATCTGCTGGGAGCGTGCCAGCCCTCCAGGAGCCCTGGTGCCTATGCTTTCTGCTTCTCACCTGCTCCTTTCACCCATGGCTATTAATTAGTGCATACAAGGGGTACTGTAATTTTTCTTTCCCAACATTTTTCTCATCCTTGATGGAAAGAAGGGGTTTTCATATTCCTCTTACCATCCCACCTTCTCTGTCCTGCTCTTCAAAGGCACACTTGGCCTTTCATGAGCTGGGAAGAGACTTCTTGTCCCCACCGGCACCGCTCCATGGGAAAGCCCAGTGCAGGCAGCTGTAGCTTGGTGGTGCCTCTGTAACAGCTCCTGCTACCCTCCAGGTTCCCTAACCAACACCCCCATGCACTTTGGGGTCCTTCAGTTTTTTATAAATCCCTTTAAGCAGCACCAGAGCTCCTCCTGCATCCTGCTGCCCTTGCTTCTGCCTGCAAGTGGGGCCAGGATGGGCAGAGACCCCTGTGGGCACACAGAAAGGAAGCTCCTGGGCAGGACAGGCTGTCCCAGGGAGAAACCATCCATCAGTGCCCATGGCAGGAGGACCTGTGCCTCAGAGTTCCTTTTTGTGCAGGCAGATGTGCTGCAAGAGCCTCCAACAGCCTGCTCCACCATGCAGGAAGGCCAGCAGGGTCCTGCGAGCCACCCCAGCGACGGTGAGCTTACAGAGAGGCTTGTGCCTGCATCCTGCTGCCCGGGCGCTGTGGCAGCATCGGAGTGCCAAGCAGGGGCAGCAGCACAGGGGGTGGCAGGGTCTCTGCAGGGCCGTGATGGAGCAGGCAGAATGCAGTAGGATGAGGCCTGTGGAGAGAGGGTGGGAGCCAGGGAGCTGGGAATGTGCCCACTCAGTCTCCCTGTGTCCCTGCCCGCTGCCAGGGTTCTTGGGACGTGCAGCGCCCACATACCAGGGTGAGAAACTGGCCCAGCACGCTCAGCACAGGCACAACAAACCCCTCCAGGCCGACTGCCAGCTGGCACCCAGCACGCCATCTCCCCCTCTCCCCACAGGCGGGCAGAGAAGGGGGCCCCTGGCTCCCCGGCCCCAGCTCTTTGTCCGGCTGGGGCAGTGCAAAGCCTCATGCTGCTGTGTCTCTGTGCCACCCCAGCGTCAGGTGAGAGAGGTGGTGTGATCTGACCCTCGTGCACCGCACACCGTGCCACTGGCTCAGCCCCGTGGGTGAGCAAGCATGGGTGATGCTGGCATCAGTCCCAGGCGAGGTCAAAGCTCCGGACAGCTGCAGCAAGGGGCAAGGGGGCATCAGAGAGAAGAGGGGAGCGGTAGGAAAGCATAGGTCCAGGCACACCCAGCAACATGCCCCTTGTTTCCCTGCAGCCTGCGGGATCCAGGCCAGCCCGTTCCCCTGGAGATCAGTGCAGGAGTTTGCAGCCACAGACCAGTTCCCATGGGTGGTCGCACTGCAGGACATGCAGCGCAACCTCCTCGCCTTCAGCTCCATCCTGAACAAGCACTGGATCCTCAGCACCGCATCCAGCCTGCAGAGCAGGTCCGTGCCCTGTGAGGGGCCCTGCATCACCCTGGGCAAGGCTTGGGAATCATCAGGGAATAACAGCACCTCAATTGTCTCAGGAGGTTCTTGTCGCTGCCCAGCAGCTGGGCAAGCATCCTTTGGTCAGAGTGGGGGCAGGCAGAGTTTGTCCCAGGCTTTTCGTTGTACCCAGTCCCCTCTGTCCACCCCCCGCAGGCAGCAGGTGCTGGCCTTGGTTGGGCTGAGAGACATGAAGAGGTGATGGGAGGACCAGCCCCAGTATTCAATCAGCTCTGTCATCGCCCATGAGGACTTCGATGAGGTGATGCTCTACAATATCGTTCTGCTCAGGACAGCCGCACTGATGGAGTTCAGCAGCATCATTCAGCCCATCTGCTGCCCCCACGGGAGCCTCCCTGCCTCAGACCTCATGAACTGCTGGGTCTCGGGCTGGATCCATCCCACCGCAGGTAACCCCTGGCTCCTGCAGCAAAGAGGTCCCTCCAGCAGGGCAGAGAGCCGCCTTCCCGGTCCCTCCTGCCAAGAGCCCCAATGGGAGGAAGGAGAACAGGGCTTGTCCTGGGAGGAAGAAGCACCCATTGGTCAACCATCCCTGTTTTTTGGAGGCCAGGGGCTGCCCAGAGCCACAGGCTCATGGTGGTCCCTCGGCCAGGCAGGGGAAAGTGCTGCAGCAACTTCCTGAGGAAGCTCTCTGTGGTGGACATGGATCCCTGCCCACTGAAAAGGATTGCTGCAACCGCATGCTGCAGCCACAGGGACACTGACAAAGTAGCAGGCTGTTTGGTGGGGGACACAGAGCACCAACCCAGACCAGGCAGACATTTAGCCAAACCGCCTCCTCCCTGTTCTGCTCATCCCCAACTCCAGGCTGGGGGAGCAGCCAAAACACTTGTTGGGCTTCTCCTGCTCAGTTCTTACAGGAAAAGATCCCTTCTGCACAGCTTGCAAATAGCAGGCGTGGGAGACTGAATGTGTGATACCCATCTCTGCATCAGCTGCAGGGTGAGCATCTCCCTGCAGGCCTGTGGGTGCTGCTCCCAGTCCCTGGACCTCTCCCACTGCTGGGGCCTCCAAGGGCCTTTGATGTGGCCAGGGTCAAAGATGCTTGGGAGGCAAAACCAAGAGGGGTTCCTTGTGGTACATACCAAAGGATCAGGCGTAGGGCTGAGCTGATGCGGGCATGGGCAGCCACAGAGGGCGATGCTGGTCACTTTGTCTGGGGCACACAGGAACATCATCAGCCCAAAGGCAGCCAGAGCCCTGAATTGGTGATGCTTTGATGCCAGTGATGATAAAGGACCAAACTGCTGTGATCTGCCCTCCTCTCAGCCAGGTGAAGGCCACAGCCACCGAGAGCAATGGCAGGAGGGACACTGCTGAGACACAACCCTGCCTTTTTTGTCTCTCAAAAGGGTGATGCCAGCAACCCCATCATGTGCCAGATTAGAGAGACTGAGAAATGGGTCCTGAAAGGCATTCTCAGTGAAAGCAGCATGAGCTGCTACAGACCATTCCTGTACACCCCAGTGTCCTACTACAGCCACTGGATCTTGGCCACCACAGAGAGGACAGGACCTCCTGCATTCCCCACGTTAGTCAGGGTGCGAGCTGATCTGCAGGCTCCACCCAAAGCCTGGGAAGAGGCTTTCAGATCAGTAGTGAGGATATTTCAGGAAGTTGGTTGCAACCCCAGAAGGGAAAAACAGACCTGAACTCATCTGCGGCTGGGCCATCTGAGATGATTTACGACTCCTGCAGTGGGAAAACACTTCCCATCTCCAAGGGACACTTACACTTGCCCCAGGTGCTTGGGAAAGGGGTATCTGCTCCTTTCTTGCTGTTTTGTTTCTTTAGGTAAATGAAGTATGCTTTTGCGATCAGAAAGCCTGCTTGGTTCATGCATGCCACATTGAAATGATTTGCTCTATATGCTCACACTGTTCCGCTCTCTTCTATTGTCAGTGCACACTTGGAGATGTTGAACTCCCACATATCCCAGGGAACTCCCTCTGGTTCCTCCTGCATTAAGTGATCACCAGGGCTTGCGCAGAAAGAAAGGACAGTTCCTGTGAACATGTCAGATTTGATCACCAGGGAATAACTGCTGGTGGTGAGGGAGGGAGAGGGGAGCACCCAGAGCACAGCTAGCTGACCTAGCAGGGCCTGCGGAGGGGCCAGGCAGCAGGGCCTGGTGGAAGCCAGCACATGCTGGGACAGACCGAAGAGATGGCCTCACAACAGAGCCATGGGTTTCTTTATCATTTCATGCAGAAGTGGTTTCATCTCACTGCAGCTTGCAGGGTGCTACATTTACCCACTTGACAGTAAACTTCCCCACAGGGTTGGCTCCTTCTGCAGCTTCCACTGCCCGCCTTGCAGCATCAGACAAGCCTAGTGCTGGTTACCAGACATCTTGACCTGGTTCCATGCTCTGCGGTAGCTTTGCAAGGACATCTGCAAGAGGAGAAAGGAGAAGGCCTTAATAGGTTCAGACAGCAGTGATATGTTGTGGAGAAAGCTGCAAGGCTGGAATCTAGCCTGGCCTGAGCTGCTGTATTGCTTGCCCCTTCATCCCCGCCCTGCTCCCACCTGAGATTGGTGCTCACTGTGGCATGCTGAGGAGAGCTCCTGCAGGTCTACACCAACTTTGGTTTCTCCCTGGAATGCCACAGGAAGCCTGGAGACCCCACACAACAGCACTGTATAGAAACCTACAGCCCCTTGCATGGCAGCAGTGGTGTTGGACATGCCCTGCCACAGAGGGGCCAGCAAAGAAAACAGGTTTATAGCCTCACTTTTATCCCAGGGACAACTACAGGTTCCTCCTTTAGCCCCTTGAGCCCTTGCTGCTCTCCAGCTCCCAGAGGCTGGCAGGACTCTGGGCACTGCTGCACAGACAGCATGCAAGTCAGAGCCTGGGTCTCCTGGTCAAGGGGAGCAGCTGGGTGAGAAGGGATCTGCTTGCGCAAAGACAGGCCTGCAGGCAGGCTGCCCACCAGCTCTGGGATAGCTCTGGGATAGCGACAGCCAGGCACCTATTTCTGAACTAACAGCACTGGTACTAATGGGTCAAGCCCAAATCCACACAGCTCTGACCTCTGAGAAAGGCTGGACCACATAAACCCTGTCCATTGCAGACTGGGGTGCTGGGGAGCTAAGTGCTAGCCAGGCACAAGCTCAGAGCCTTCCCTGTCCCAGCCACAACTAAGCCCATCTCTGCTTGAGGACGAGCAGGGTGTCAAGGTACAGGACCTCACTATCCATCCCATCCATCCTAGCCACTTCTCTCCCCACACTGCTGTGCACACAGGGCAGGGATACAGACATGTTCTGCTACCTCCACGTTTTGACTATGCTCCTCTGTGTTATCTCTCCATCTCCTCCCAGGCTGCAGGAGTTGGGGCAGGAGAAGAGTCAAAGATATTCTTGCAACTTTGCCATGCACTCATGTTTGGGTCTTGGCCAGCCTTTCCTTATCAGGGAGGAGTCAAGATGCAAGTGAGTAAGAAATGTTTGAGATCATCAAAGAGGACTACAAACACTGGGGAGCCATCGGGGCACTGGAAAAGGCCAGTGCAGGTTACACATGCAGAGCTGGAAACATATCAGGCTGCCATACATCCCCTTCTCCTTACATGCATGACAGGTTTCACTATAGCAACAGCCCGACGGTGCTTCCTGTCAAATGACAAGCTGTGTCCTTGCCTTGGCTTCCCCTCTGAGCTCAGTCATTAAAATTCAGCCTCCGTCCTCGTCCTCGGGGTAGGGAGCGATCGCTGCTCTGTAAACAGGAAGAGCCTCTGGCTCTGCCAGGCACCGGTGAAACTGCCGTGTGAGAACTCTCGCACGGCTTCCTGGCCGGTCAGGAGCGAGCACTCTGGTCCCCAGGGTGGCTGCAGGTGGGCAGGCACAGATGTGGCTCCACTGGGACCCAGAGCCCGGCTGGCACACATCCAGGCTCCTGCACACCCAGCCCAGTCTTGCTCACCTCAGCAACTGCCACCTTCCTCTCCCAAGCCTTGAGGCTGTTTTCGAGGTCAGTGACAGCCGCCTTCTTCTGCACGTAAGTCAGCACAGGGGGGACGCCGTAGTCTGAGAGCTGCTTCCGCAGCTTCCAATTCACACTCTCAGCTTTGGCTCGTTGCTGCCGGAGGAATAGGACACAAGGCAAGGAGATCCCAAGGAAATGTCCCTCTGCCAGCTGGCAGCCCATCCTCCAGGGAAGCAGGCAGGAAGGATAAAATCAAATCCTGACACTTCTGGGGGTAGCAGTGGGATGCATCCACCAATCCCTTCATCCCTGCTAGGCAGCACTGCTAGGGAGCCCCCTGAACTCACTTCCCAAAGCTGTGGTGTCCCTGCCAGGCTGTGTGTCCCCAGACTGGCATGACAGCAGTGGCACTTCTCCCTGGGGAGGACACGGCTGATGAAGAGTTCAAGGAAACAGAATTTCAGGAAGCCAGTGGCAGGTCCCTGTGGAGCCAGGGCCAAAATCCACAACGTGACCTGTTCTGCAAACCCACCTGTGCACTGGCAGGAGCCCCAAGACTTGCTCAGACCCAGAAAGGCACACAGGTATCCAGGTCATTGCCAGGCCTCGAATGGGCATCAGTATCCAACATACCACAAAAAGTACCTCGAGTCCTCCCAAGTGAAGTCTCAGGGCCTCCCAAATTGCTCTCTTACCTCCTCCACCAGAGCAGCTTCTCTTTCAATTTTCTCCAGCAGCTCCTTCCTCTGGGAGATGTCTTTCATCAGAGACGTGGACGTTTCCATGGCGTCCTGCAGCTTCCTCTGGAACATGAGAGCAGGACAGCATCAGTGGGCACAATGGCAGCTCCCAGCCACCTGCAAAGCCACCCCCTTACTCCTCCAGTTTGGTCTCAGCTGGTGGTACGGGAGCTCTGCTCCCAAGGGAGCTCTGCGGCACCACTCATCCCCTGCAGAAGGCAGCGTTATGCCCTGGTCACACAGTTACTGCTTCATTATGTCCTCTGTGTCTCACTGCAGCACAGCCCATGGCACAGCAGCTGGTGTTTAGGACTGACCCAGACAGAATGGCTGATTGGAGAGAAGCAAATACACCCAGCTGAGAAGCACTTTTCACTGATAAGAGCAGCGACTCAGAGTGACAGCTACAGCTCATGACATCTTTTCAAATGTCACAGGTTATGTAAAAAATGTATTTTCCTGTGCAAGTAAGCACCAAAGCTCCTTCCTACTGGAATTTTCCCCTGGGGTGTAAAATAATCATGCTGCAGAGCATGAAATCCATCTTCAGGCTGCACCCAAACATGAATAAGGGCATTGCTACTTTTGGTGTGTTGGGCAAACCTCCCAACCAAACTGCTAAGTCAGTAGGAAGGCAGAGAGGTTGTTCAGCATCCCCTGACTGAGAAAGGAACGGATGCAAGAGCTGTTAATCAGCTTGTGTATGACCCTCGGGAAAAGAAGAAAGGCAAAACAGAGGTGCTGGGAGGTTCACTCACTTTATAGAAATTGAGGACTTGGACAGTCTTCCCTGAGGTCAGTTTTAGGTGCAGCAGCTCCTGGTTCTTCTCATTAATCTTCTCCTGGTACTGGGCATTTCTAACCTGCAGCTGCTGCAAGCGGACCTCATGGAGTGTCTCTCCCATTTGCTCCTTCTGCAAACCCAAAGGAACCAGAGCTGTAGGTTGCTGACCAAAGCTGCATCCTAAGTAAGGGAGCTTTGCTCTGTGGGGAAAGCAGACCTAAAGAACAGGGTCTTCAGCCTGGCTGCAAACCTGGGGCTCGGGGAGAAATGCAAGACACAGCATGCCACTGAGCCTGTGCTCTGTGTCCTAGCTTAGAGGGTCCAAGCAGTGCATACAGGTCCCCTCTGGCAAGGCTCCCGCCATGCCAACAGCAGCCAGTCCCCAGGGAACTACTCTGATCCACCATACACCTTTTCCAGGGCACAAAGGGCACAAAGAGATCTGCCAGCTGCCACTCTGGTAGACTTCTGGTCTCATGTCATGCACACAGGCATGTGCCGGGTCTGAACCTGGGCAGACAACAATGCCCTTTGACAAAGGCAGCAAGGGCAGAAGCAAAGGAGGAAGTGGAGGAGGAGGAGGGCCACGCATCTCTACACAGAGCAGGCCCTGCATCTGCACTGGGCTGTACTCTTTTTGTTCTTCTAGGGGCCATCTAGTCCCTACTTCTACTCAACTGCCGCACCCACCTGCCTGAGCTGCTGCTGCAGCTTCTTCTTGTAGCCCTTGAGCAAATAATTTTTTAAGCGCAACTTCTCTCTCAGCAGATCCTAAAGAAAGACAGCAGATTATAGTGGAACAGCAGAGCCTGGGAGGAGAAAAAGCACCCAGACCTCACTCCTTATGGTGTGGTTCTCGTTCATCTCATGCGCACTGCAGCATTCACTGCTGGCTTAGAAAGGAGCCCAGCAAGAAACACTGCTCAGCATCAGCCTGCCCCAAATGTGGGGTCATGGCTGTGCACTTTCCCAAGCTCCGCTAAGGGCCTTGCATCATCTGTGCTCACAGCTGTGCTGCAGCTCAGCAGCCTGATGAGCACCTGGGCTAGTCACCGACTGACAAGTGTGACAAGGGCTGTCCAAGACTTGCTAAGATGGTCTGAAAATGTGATATAGGCCACATAGGAGTATGGGAACTAGGATTTTCCCTAACCAACATACTTGTCAGATGACAGACCAGCCTCAAAATTTGCCATGATGCACTGACCCTCTGGCAGTTCTTTTCCTCCATGTATCTCAGGAGCTTCTCAGAAGCTATGATACTCCCTTTCTTGCTGGAGATGGTGCTGATGATGTCTTTCTCAAAGTCACTGATGGCTTTCTTAACATCAGTCCACCAAACATCTGCTTCTTCAATGACTGCCTGTAGAAATAAAGTCACATAACTGTCAAGAGGTGCTAACTTCCCTTATTCAAACAGCTTTAGGAACAGATAACACCAGAAAGGACCAGGCATGCTCTCTGCTGGTGTTACTAGCACTTCTCCTGTGGGAGCACTGAGTTTCACCCTGTG